ATAAAAGAACACCAACGAGACGTCAGACTGAAATACGTCACACAGTCGGCACTATCAGAACATAACGTCGAAACAGGACATCAAATACTGTTTGACGAAGCAACCACGATAACCAACACCACATCATACTTCCCAAGAAAATACAGAGAAGCCATAGAAATACAAAAACACCCTAACAATCTAAACAGATAATGGCTATAACATAAGTAAGATATGGAAGATCATCCTCCCGACCAGCAAAGACCGACCAAGATTCCACCATCTGTTTTTCCCCCATCACTCTAATCCCCCTCCCCTCCACCACCAAAAAACTCCCATCTCAACAAGTAGCGTAACATAAAAAGGAAGGACCTGGAGGAACAGCTCAGTATCAGGCTGCTCCTCGCCCTGATGAAGTGGACTGCAAGGCCCACGAAACGTTGGCAATCAAGAATGGACCAAGACATGGAGAAAACCTGCGAAGCACAGATTAGTTATATTCTAGATATTATTTTTAATAATCTTTTTGAAACAAAATAAATAACGTGTGTGCGTGTACACATGTTGCACGCGTGTAAATATAGATGATATGCATAGTGTAGATATGATATTTAAAATTAATATTTTTTTAAATAAACAGATCAAGCAATGAGAAACAGGAATATAAATATATTATGAAGTCAAAGGTTCAATAGCAGGGTTGGCAAAGATTAAGTAATTTAGGTTTTTTGGGGGGGGGGGCGGAGCTCCTGAGTAATCGTCACAGCCATATTGAATCGTGACATCAGAAGCGAGAAATAACACGTTAATATTTGTTATGTGCCATTTATAAAGACTTTGAGCAAAACAAAATGATGAGATTGCTTTAAAACATTTGTAAAAATGAACGAAAACTAACTTATCCCCTCCCTGACAATCAGTAAATAATCATAAAAAGGGATAAAAGGCACATAAGTGAAAATAAGTATAAAAATGAATAAAAGCACTTCAAATTAATCAAATTAAGAATAAATCATTGTGTTTCTTCTTCAATATGTTTTTAATGCTTCAAATATGCTTTTAACAGTATTATAAAAAAATATATTAAAAACATTAAAAACATCAATTATGTATATTTTAAACTATGTTTAAAATATGTTTTTTACCAACTCTATTCTATAATAGCCTTTTAGAATACGTATATTCGTTATTGACATATTTTTTAACATTTATGAATCTTTAATTAGTCTTTCGATTTTTAAATTAACATATTTTTATTTTTCACATAAAAAACCGCATGCCTTTAAGAACCAAGCAATAGCATATTGTTGTGCAAAATTATAAATATCATATATATTAGTACCATCGGTAAAATTTACATCGGTAACGTAATGCAAATTATAATGGTGAAATTATAATTGTTGTTTGGCTTTTAAAGCCATGCGTTTTTCCATATGCCATATGATTTATATTATAAAAGTTTGTTTATTATTAATTATTTTTATTTTGTTGATTTTCTTATCATTACTTTTACTATGTTACATCGTGTCCATTAAAAGTGAAGACTCCATAGGAAATATTTGGTCAAAATAATTATGAAAATTTTTATTTTTTAGATTTTATAAAGAAATAAATATCCTAACATTTTATTATTACAAGTTTTAATTTTTTCATATAATGGGGCATTCTTTATCAAAAGAGCCACCCTGTCCAAAATTCAGAGGAGCCTACGGGATTCATTTTGGGCTTAAATTGTTGCTTGAGATGTCTACTTTAAAAAAAAATGTGGCCTTTTCGGAAAATCAAAATGGCGCACTCAAGATGACTGCCAGAATGAACAAAGTCGAGTGGAAAAAAAGAAGGTAAACCTTTAGAAGAACTACATAACCTGGAAAATTAATGGTAGCAAATTTTTCCATGTATTTTTGGCTGCTAAAAATGAATCTGATAAAATTTGGCACTTAACCATATTTTGGCCGCCATTGTGAAAAAATGCAAAAAATTCGCTTTTTTGCATATATCTCAGAAAATATTGATTTTAGAAAAAAAGTGTTTAACAAAAAATAAAGCTCTTGAAATTCTCTACAAATAAGGTCCTATGCATAATTATCGTAATTTTAACCGTTTACGCATAATATAATTTTGAATTACGAGACCCTTTCAATTAGGCTATGTAGGTTGTACAAGGTGTGCTGTTGCATATATTGAGTCATCTAAAAAGTATCCGCGGTTTTTTGTCACTAGATGTGTGTTGATGGTCATATATCTAGTGACAAAGTACCGCGGATACTTTTTAGATGACCCAATATTTAATTTGTGAGATATGATACAGAAAAAATTTTATTTTAAGAAATTAAATATACTGTAAAGATTATATCTGAATTAGTCTATACGTGTGAACTGTGAATACAATGAAAAAAAGGCGTCGTAATCACGTGATTTATGCCCATTTCCATCAATGTAGATTAATTTTAATCTCGGTTCGATATATTCTTCTTTTTTTTCTAATCTTTAGATTTCCAATCAGATCGTTAATGTTTTATCTCTGTCTTCTAGGACTACAGTTACTACATAGTTAGAAATAAAGTAATGATAAAAGTAATTAATGAAATCGTTACCGTTACCCAAAAATGTAATTGCGTTATCATGTACTCAGAATATTACTCAGAAGAAAATATAATGTCGTTATACATTCGTTATCAAAAAAAGTAACAATAACGACGTTACAAATAACGCGTTATTTGCCAACCCTGTTAGTATGCATATGCACATATATGCTGTGTATATATATATATACATGTCTACTGATTATCTATGTCAATCCTGTCTTTGTCAATTTGAGCTCCGGAGCCAAAACGCAAAATCGTCTACTAAAAAAATTCAATGTGAGTAAGATTTTAGGAGTATAATACCTATGAAGTGTTGATAAGCGTCACTTAGATGCGATAGCAACACTTTCCAGCTCCCGAAATCTTACTCACATTGAATTTTCTTGCGTCGATGGCTTTTCGTTTTGGCTTCAGAGCTCAAATTGGACAAGCCTGGGACGCGATTCCGTAATTGTCTTTATACGCCTACTGACAGTTGTCGGTGTCGTGACGCAGATATTTTATATAGTAAAAAGCGACAAAAAAACGACATCGACAACTGTCGGTAAGCGTGTAAAATAGTTATAGAATCGCGCTTTAGGCAATCTATTAGGTGTTGGAATTAATTCGTAGCGTTTTACAAGTGATGGGAAGTACTTTCATTAATGTATTTTTTAATGCTCATGTGAAATAAATAACATTCTTTCATTAAAAAACGCTACGAATTAATTCCAACACCTAATAATATCACATAGCAATCAGAGACTCAAAAGGAAAGAGAAAAACTTTGTTCCGAACAAGGAAATATTAAATCACGAAGAGAAAGACAATTTCGATGTACATATCTTTTTCTGTAGTCGAGAACGGAATACACATATTCCGTCATTTTTATTGCGTTGAAACGTGAACCCCCAATACCCATGTAGCGCAGTATTATTAAATGGGCCGGGTTTCAGTCGCTTAGAGTTAAAAATGTTAAAAATTTTAATATATTTTACATATATATATATTAGGTGTTGGAATTAATTCGTAGCGTTTTTAATGAAAGAATGTTATTTATTTCACATGAGCATTAAAAAATACATTAATGAAAGTACTTCCCATCACTTGTAAAACGCTACGAATTAATTCCAACACCTAATATATATACATATATATAAGTACAATATATATATTTCTATATGTGTACACATATGTAAAATATGTAAAATATATTAACATTTTTGAAAAAATTTTATATAGGCGACTAATGATCTATTTATTAGTGACTGGTACGTTACTGAAGCTATTGGATGCGTTTAAAACCTGGCCCATCTAACACACTGATGTAGCGTAAGGATGAAATCACACGGTCCGGAATAGGACTGCGGAATACAGAATGCGTCATTGAAGCAACCAATCAGCGCTATTCCGCACTTTTCCATCACGCAACTTTTGTGTGCTATGCTCACATGATGCGTCAAAGATGTATCCAGCGTGAATATAATTTAAAAACTACTAACTTCATGTTAATAATTTACTTATTAAAATGAAATAATAATATAATTTTTCAAATTGTAAAAACAATTATCACTGTTGTAGTATTTAATGTTTTACAATTAATATTTACAATCTCATAATAATTTTTTGAACTGCTTTAACGCATTTACTACATTTTTCCGCATCGTATGAACATGGCACACAAAACTGGCGTGATGGAAAAGTGCGGAAAAGGACACACTGAAATCGCACGTAATGCATCATTTTTTGATCTTAGTATCTATATTTATGCACTCAAATTTTGTCATTTTGCTTCATTCGTCTCGACATTACGCAATTCCATATCAATCAGCATCAAATTATTTTAACCTCTCAAAATACGACGGTTTATTACAAGAACAATCAATCAAATGCGGAATAGCGTTGAATGATTATTTCAATGACACATTCTCTATTCCGTACTGTGTAATTTCACCATAATGAGCGCTTTGCGGACTTTGCGCAACCAATCATAAGTCATTCTTTTATTTAGGGTTAAAATCACATTAATTTCAACTAATTTCATAAGATTTTAACATCAATATTTCTAATAAAAAACGCATTTAATTTAGTATTTAAGTACATGATGATAAAAAATGAATAATAAACAATATTTAAAAGATTATATACGGATTTGCTGTTCATTCCGTTTCCGCTCATTCTGCTCCATGAGGATGAAGGTATTCAAAGTCGCGTAACGAAAACTGCGAAACGTTTATGATTGGTTTTGTTCTCGTGATTGGCTTTCCACGTTATGCTATTCCGCTGCATGGAAACGGAGGATTTTAATTATTTATTTCCTTATGCATTACATGTTATGCATTATACAAAAGTCTGTGTTCCTCGCTTAAGAGTGTAAATCTATAAAGCAGCAGAATAGCACAAAGTCTGCGGTTTAGGGCCATTCCACACAAATTTGCATAGCCGCATGAACATGTGCATAAAGAAAATCATCCAATCATATTTTACGTTTGTCTTTATGACAGAAATGTGATTGGATAAGTTTCTTTATGCACATGGTTATGCAGCTATGCAAGTTTGTGTGGAATGATCCTTAGAATGCCGTCCCATGAGCGGAAATTTAGGGTGCCATTACATGAAGAGCAGAAATGCGGAAACGCGGAAGATAAAGTTAATTAAACTTTATTAGATTTTCGCGTTTTTGCGCGTTCTGTTTCGCCTGTTTCGATCACGTAATATTACATGGGAATCGATTCTATATCTTGAAACGAGATGAAAATTACAAAAGCGAATTTACTAGAATACTGATAATTTCATTGGCCAACACCTAGTAAATTTGCTTACTTTTGTAATTTTCGCTTTGTTTGAAAATACAAAATCGAGCCCATGAAGGACAATTTCCGCACAATTTCTGCGGAAAAACGGAACGATATAGTGTAATAAAACTTTTATATTCGTTTAAAAAAATTGTATTCACTTAATTTGCAATTTTTATCCATATGCTTATCTTTTCAGCTTATGTATTGAATACAAGCATTTCAATCAATAAATACCATTAAAAATTAATCATTTATAATTTCCCAATATTAAGAGATCAAAACAAGCGGAACAGAACACGTGAAAACGCGGAAATCTTGTAAAGTTTAATTAAAATTTTGTCTTCCGCGTTCATTTCTGCATTTCCGCGCTTCATGTGAGACCGGGTTCACACCTTGACGGAAAAGCGGAAGTTCCAATCGGAACTCGCAGTAGTAGTAAGCGATACATTTCGCTCGTATGCATCTGCTTCTGTCTTTCCGCGAGTTCTGATTGGCTTCCGCTTTTCCGCTTTCCCTTTTTCCGTCAAGATGTGAACCTAATGGCACCCTTAAGGTGCCTTTTCATGTGCAGCACGCTGCGGCCATATATTGGGTCATCTAAAAAGTATCCGCGGTTTTTTGTCACTAGATGTGTGTTGATGGTCATATATCTAGTGACAAAGTACCGCGGATACTTTTAAGATGACCCAATATATTGGGCAACCTCTTTTTGAGAATGGGGGGGGGGGGGTGTGCTAAGATAGTGAGATAGAAAATCGACTTCTCGCTTCTACAATTCGTGTATTTTGCGCATGCGGGTATGCACGCGGACTCATGGCACATATTGTAGAGGTTAGATATTATTAATAAAGTATAATTAAAAGAAATACCAAGTCTAAAATATATAATTGTACTTTACTTTTTGTATAGTAGTTTTATATAGGTCAAACAAACTCAACTTCACTATTGAACACGTCGGACACAATAAACGTGATAAAGTATGATAAAATAGGTTGGGAACACGCGCATGCGCATTGCGAAAGTACACGAATTGTGGAAGTGAGAAGCGATCGTCTGCACTGTGATGTTTTCGGCAGCTCTTAATTGCCGTTAGCAAGTAGTATTACATAATATGGCTGTGGCAGCAAAAATGTCACGTGACGCAAATTTTTCATAATTCTTTCGCTGCATTTGCTGCGTATAAAAAGGAATGACAACAATAGCATACGTATTAAAGTTCAATCTCAAATACGTCTTTTATTTGCTCAGTTTGAAAATTAATATGGAAAAAGATAAAAACTTATGATTATATGGCAACTGTTAGTGTAGTTACAATTTGGACAACTATCATACCAGATAATTATTTAGAATTTAGAATATTACTTGAAATTTTAATAAAAATGTACTCATTGTATGTACTCATTGTAAATGTACTCAATTTTCACATTTTTTGCAAATATTGCAGATTTTCTCAACTTCGAATTCTTTGCTGCTCATTATTGTTTGTTTGGTTTAACTTCAAATGCGGCAAAATGTATTTTTCGTTGAAAGTACGCCATTTCATACAAAATTTTTAACCGAATTGCTGCACGCATTGTCACTCTCTCGTCTAGCCATGTAAGGTACTACTTTGTATAATAATGAGATACACTGAAGATGACTCGAATGTAAGAAATGTCTGATTTCATCGATTTCAATAAATCTCTTTCTCGCATGACTTACAGCGAAAAAACTCTCTTAGCCCTCTTTTTATTCATATTTTTGATATTATAATAACTACAAAAAATTTTACTAAATGATACATGATAGTACAACTCTTGAAGAAGAAAAATTACCCCTGTAAATTGCTATGCGACTGCTCAAAGATGTAAATAATTAAGTTTTCCGCGGACAGGTTTTTAGTGATGGCTTTTTGCAAAAACTAGTGAACATTACAGGTTCGTTCAGGGCTAAATTTGTTCGTCATTACGAGGGCTACATTTTACGAAAATTTCGAAGCTTTGCGTTTAAATCTCAATGAACAGAGAACGAGTGAACAAAAGCCTTTTCCGATGATTTTTATTTTTTTTCTACTTAACTAATAGATCGATTTTAATGTTCCACGTCTCATTTTGTAGGTATTTCGAATATCTATATTTTTTATACCGAATTTTTTTCCATACAATCAATATCTTTCGTTTTATAAGCGAAAAACGTTTGCTTGCTTTTTGCAACTATTCGATTTTTTTTCGCATATTTTCTTTGCAAGTCTCCAATCTCAAATATATGCATTTCTTTTCTGATGGCCTTTCGAAGATTTTCGTGAAGAGAAATGCTAGTTTATAATTTTTTTCTGTAAAATTCTACTTCTCTTGAACTATTCTTGCTACTCGAATTTATGAAGGAGGTATATAACGCGCATGAAAAATCGTAAACAATTAAATATCTCGTAAGCTGTTGCGTTTTGACATGATTTATACTATTCTGGATTAATGGAGAAGTATACTATTACTACAATTTATTAAAACTTATATGTTATTTAGAATGCTTCTCGCTCCTTATCGATGCCGGAAGCCAAAATTGCCGAAAAAGCATTTTCGGTCGCTTGAAACAAGTGATTAGTGTGAGAAAGAGCTCGCTGTCTCGGCATACCGACGGTGAGAACACGTACATAGGTTCGTACTTGTATGTGTGTTACAGCGCCACACCACGATAAATGGCTGAACTTGTAAGCATGGAAAAGTGACATTTTGATGACAAAATTTATTGCATGCATTTCGTTGTTATTTGCTTAATTGTGAAAATGTGACTAGTCTTGTACTTATCAAAATCGTAATTATCGATGAAAACTAAAGTTATCTTGGAATTTTATATGTAAAAGCATATATTTTACAACGTACGTTTCAACAGTTGTCGGACTGTGTGTTTCTACCAAAATATAAGCTCATTTTACGTCCCTTTTACGACCACTTACTGAACAAAAGAGGAAAGTTTTCATCGATTTTTACAAGTGTTTTAAAGCGATCTCATCATTTCATTTCATCCAAATTGTCTTCATTTAAAAATGGCATGCAACGTGTAAA